TGTTATGTATGTTGTCTGAGTTTCTGACAATAACATGTGTACACCTTCAATGCATTTGTTGGAACTGACTTTATTGGTCTAATCACAAGTACATATCAATGCACAGGGGTGCAGTGTAACACGTTACACAAATATAGTACCTAAGATACATAACAAGGCAACTGAGCATCCTCTAGGACTAAATTTACCTGTAAAATCGTTATAGAAGACAAGACAGGCACAGATGTCACACAAATTTATTCTGCCATTGTTGAAAAATGTAAAAAAGAAATCCTTAAAGTGGTAAACAAAGAAAATGCAGGCACACCAAAAAGACAAAGAACTGATGAGGGGCCACTTTCAAGCACACCAGGTCCATCATCTTCTACATACAAATTTCCATCATCCCAAAAATCTCCAATTGAATCTTCTGCCTCAACAGTTATAGATAGATATAAATCCATATTACGAAGGAAGAACATAAGCAGAAACCTTAATGAAACTTATAGTGAAATTCAAGAAGACTATGAGGAAGACTGCTTGGCACTAATAGATGACACCTCACTCCCAGAATAGGAGTAATTAAGGCATCACACTCCCATTCATTCAAGAAACAGGGCTCAAAATAGCCCCTTGCTCGCTTGCCAATCCTCTGCTTTCCTTGACGTCATTGTTTGTCATTGATTTGTGTGTACCAGCTGGTGTCAGTTAAAGCACCCCCATATTTATGAACTAGTACAAAGGGGTCAGAGAACCACTTATATTGTTTTTATCATTATTTTGGTTGAATTTGTTGTTGACTTTGGATTTTGTTGACTTTATTATGAAGGACTCATACAGAGAATCATTGGAGGGAGATGTAAGATGGAGAAAATTGGTGATATCAGGAAGGATTCGTATGAGATTGACAAGAAATTCTGGCCACACGTAAATAGTGTTGACCTTTTTGATTTCCTTATTCTTCGAAAGTCATTTTATACGTCAGACGAATTGAGAAGCTACAAAGCCTTAGAAGCCTACCGGTTATTCCAAGATGGATGGATAAAAGAAATTTTGCATGTGGAGTTGAATTCCTGCCATCTGCTAAAAGCAAAGGTAAGCTGGTTATTAAGACTCTAAACACAGCAATATAAAACCTTTTTAGGTTGAATCTAAATCTTGTTTGTATGTAGGATCTGTTGCTTTTGTGGCATAATTACAATGCATGGCCATAAACACCACTGTAACCACAGACAGAAATTGTAAATGTTATATAATAAACATTGTTAGGGTGTTTATTTCAAAGTAAAAAAAAATAATGAATATGATTCCTGCTTGCCTGGAGCCTTAATCCAATTATTGGGTAATTTAAATTTAGCTATGTTCTTTATTTTAATGTAAGAGATTTATATATTTATATATCGTTTTGTAATGATGTAAGTACATCAATGACATAGTACTACGTATTACATACTTACTTCAGATTTGTGCTTAGTCATAAGCTTACTGGATGATGCCATCTTCTGTTCAGGTACTGATTTAACGTAGTATTTTGTGGCAAGATTACAGTAAGAAAATAGATTGGTAGCCATCCATAATGTTTATATCCCTGCACTTTTGTGACAAGAATTTGTATTGTGAATTTGTTATGCCAATACTTACAAGAGGACTATAAAAAGGCATGGTATTTAATACATGTATGATTAAATCTGCACCAAATGGATATTATGACTATAATTTCTATGCTTGAAATTTATTTTACACGTGGTAAATTATCATTTTACTCAAGTGTCCATACTAGAATTTTAAACATTTTTTTTTTCTCATTTTTCCTGTAGTTGGAACATCCATACAAAAGCATTAGAGAGCTGGACTTTCAGTCCTGAAATAAGAAGCAGAGGGATAGCTTGGCACCTGTTCATCCCATAAAGGACCCAAATAATATACCCTTGCCCACAAAATGTGAGCAGTCTACAGTGTGCTGTTGAAAAAAGGAACTGCTGTTGTCCTGTCTGTGTCTAAGGATTATGCTGCCAATTTTAAACCCAAGTCACTGGAAGGTGTTTGGCCAGTTGACCTTAAGTCAGTTAAGAATGATAGTTTGAGGGATGCCTCATAAGAGGAAATACTGGCACATGCAGACAGTGTGGACATTAATGTGAGCCCATCACAGGCATCATATATGGAAAGTGTGACACGGGAGCAAGTGAAGTCTGTGAAGTGGGGTCAGTATAGGGTTGGCTGCATCACAGCCTCAAGAATATATGAGGCCACACGCACCACCACAGAGACTCCCTTTAAGTCCCTTGTAAGAGGCATATGCAAGCAAACGCCATTTAAAAGTGTACAGACTGACAGGGGCATCAGGAAAGAACCAGCTGCTAAGAAGGAGTATAACAACCAGATAATTCGACAACACAACAATTTCACCACGCAGGATAGTGGTCTGGTGCTTCATCCAGAGTTTGGAGCCAGTCCTGATGCCCTGGTCAGTTGCAGCTGTTGTGGCTCTGGGCTCTTACAGGTAAAGTGCCCCTCCAGCCTGAAGGATTCTGAGATCATTGACATGCCATATTTGAGGACAAAAAGTGGAAAAAGGAAAGCAAGTACTTTTATCAAGTACAGATGAAACTTTTTTTAACAGACCGCAACTACTGTGACTTTTTTATGACTTTGAACCATAGGGCAAGCGTAATGTGCACCCATTCTGCCCAACCGGGCAAGTGATCCCAAAACCCGTTTCTGTAAAAATCAATATCAAACCCCTTCCCAGGTATTTAATAAGTGCTCATCAATTCAATGATAAAAAACTGAAACTTTCAAAATGGTTTTGGGAAAACTTACTAGTTAACCAGGGACTCTTAAGTACGGTATACAGTAAAGTAAAATCTGAGTCACAAACTGTTTCAGTAAGTTTGAAATTGAAAATTCTCCCCCCTGCACTTATTTGAGTGAAATGTCTTTAGGGCAAGGAATATGAGGACAATATTCTTGCCTGGGTTTTGGGACAAAGAGATTTGCAACTGCAAGTTTATGTGGAAACTTAATGTAGTCAGGCCCATGCCCTGGCAGCCTCTAAAGGGATCGACTTCTAAGTGTCAAGAGGATGGGCGAGGCGGTTCATGCAAAGAAACCTTCTGTCAATACGCTCTACGGCTACTGTGAGTCAGTGTCTTCCAGCCAATCTGCAGGAACGATTGGGTGTATTTCATCAGCAATTGAGGGAAGTTCAAGAGGAGTCAGAATTCGAAGACCGCTTCATCATTAACATGGATGAAGTCCCCATGGTGTTCGACTTGCTGCAGGCAAAGACTATAAACAAGACAGGAGAGAAGGATGTCAGAATTATTTCGTCAGGGTCCGAAAAAAGACATTTTGCTTTTGTTCAGAGCTTCACTGCAGACTATGATAAATTGCCTAGTATGATAATATTTAAAGGTAATTAACAATATGTTTTATGTTGAAAGATGTATAGTTAATACTTATGACTGGTAAATGATTATTTTTGCAGAGACATTACAACAATTAGATATATAGTTATATGATTTGCGAGCACAATTGTGCAAGGTTCTTGTTTAAATCTACAGCTAATTTACTTCCACCAGCAATAAGTGACTGTTATAAATATCTACATATTTCTAAGTTACACTTTACCTGCATTAAAAAAAGTTCACATCTTTTTGCAGTTTTTTTTTCAGCCTGAATGTGAATGTGCATTTCTGCCAGTAACGAAGTTTAGCTATAAATATCACTATTGATGTTGTTCTTTCATTATTTCAGGCAAGAGAAATCCAGTGGTGGAGGGGCCAGAGGGTTAGTTGATAACAGCCAACCCTACATCCCGGATGACGGAAGACCTTATGCTGGAATGGGTGGCCTTCTCTCCTCGTTATGGATGCCTTCTCTGCCCATACCACTGAGAGGGTGGCACGTGCACTGCAGCAAGTGGCAGAAAAGCCAGCAATTATCCCGGGAGGATGCACCTCAAAGGCACAGTCCCTAGATGTGTCTTTGAACAAGCCGTTCAAAGGCCGTCTTAGGAGACTGTGGTCTGAGAGGATACGTGGCGATGTTGCAGCTACGAAAGGACACATTGACCAGCTGAAGACTGCCAGTAAACAAGAGATAGTTGACTGGATCAAGGCTGCCTGGGACAATGTCCCCACAACCATGATCCAGAAGTCTCTCTCTGTTACTGGCATCTTGCGGTCATTAAGGGGAGACAGTGGTGTTTCAGTGCCGGAGAGCAATGTACCCATGCTAGACAGCGACAGCGACGGAGAGGAGTTCATGGGTTTTCCCCCATAAGACATCACGGATTGCAACGATTCTTGTAAAGACTTTTTGTAAAAGACAATAATTATGATCATACTTTTACCCAGGCGTAATAGTTATGCACAAGGCATATTTGAAGAAAATGTATAGTAATATAGACAAGATATGACTCCCAAAGCATTACTTGTGTAAATATCGCTCTATAAAGAAGTTTAGGCAAATCACATTTTTTTTGCAAGATACAACGTTCTTGTTTGAAATTAAAAAAAGGCCAGGATTTGACGTGTTTTAATTCCTTAATTTTAGTTTTCTAATTACGTTATGCATTAGCATTATTTCAGTAATTGTTTCCACTTATTTTTGGGTTCTGCGGGTTTATTTTGGTCCTTGGGTAAAAAATTAATAGGGGCATAAAATTTAACTAATAGGGCCTATTATATAATTTCACAATTACCAAATTTTAACTGAAGTGAATCCTGACGTGCGGCGAAATATTGGTTGGGGAAATTTAGATACAGGAAGTACACGGTGCGGGGGCATAAAGATGAGAGGAGATAATGGCCCAAGGGGGAAAAATGTTGCTGAGAACATAATTAACTTACGTCGAAATTGTTTGGATGGGGCCTTAAAGATAATGGCATGCAATACACTGACAGATAAAGATATGTTAAACTGTCAAGAACTTCACAGTTGTTTGAAGGTTTTGATTTGTTTTGTTTTGTTTAGTTTTCATTAAGTATGTCACGTAACTCAGGCAAATAAAATACTTCACTGTTTTTAACGTTTTAAATATAGCTTGTGTGTGTTGAAATCTGTCTTTATCCTTACAGCAGCAGACAATTAGCCCATAAAACTAAATATGTGTGCTCAAAAACAATGAAAATTACAGATTAAGTAAAACCTGCCCAAAGCTGGGGCATTATAGAGTCATGAAAAGTCATTAAATATATTATCGCCCTCCACAGATATTATCACTGCTACATTACACTATATACCATTCATACTTTGGGACTTTACAACCTCTGAACCAATGAAACCTCATGCAAGTGAACCTTCTGACTAGTACACCTTTGGAACAGCTGGACATTTACATCATCAAACTATCAGACCAATGAACCTTCTGACTCTGTCATGCACTTGACAAATCATTTAACAATAAACTTATAATAATTTCATAAATTCACAAAATGACAACATATTTAGTAATTAAAACAAATATCAGAATCAGAAACAAAGACGGACAAAAATACACAAACATATCTACATTGCTACATCAATTTGAAATACTCAGGACATATTGTAGCATCATATCCAAAATGCTTAAGATAACAAAGCAATATCATTAAATAATCCAATCATGATGATTTTCTAGAGGAATTAACATTAAAAAAAAAAACAAAAATACAGTTTATCAGTAATAGGGTAAACAACAGATGTGTCACAAAGTTCTGACTATGGCAATGACACTGGACAGACACAGTGATCAGAATATAGACAGACTGAAAGTGTCTGTATATAATAAATGTCATAAAAATTGCATTATGCAACTTAATGGCCTCACAATAACAGAGATTATTTATAACACATCATATCTGCACTGAAATATATGTATTCACATTAAAACATTTTCAATGACGTCTTTTTCTGTTCACTGATGGCTTATTGTCTACTACAATCTCGCATACATGCTACCTCTACTAGTACTGTAACAATTTCCATGCACATGGGGAAATTATTATAACACATCACAACTGAGCTGAAATAGCAATTCACTTTTAAACATTTCCATTGTGTCTATTTGTCTTCAGTGATAGAGTATTGTCTAACACAATCTCCTTGCTTTATATACCCTGCCTCTATAGTTTCCATGTATATGGGGGAAATGGATTCTTTGTGTTACCTGGAACCCACATTTGTTGTACAATTGTACTGTTCCATATAACTGGCTCTACAGGATCTGCATGTCATCTTTGGGAGTCTTGTTCTAGGTGGTTCTGGCAGCACTCTCTCTCACTTAATATGAAATTGACCTCTTGGTCTGCCAGCAGCTCTTTACACAATTCCAGAAGTGTATTTGCTAAAAACATAAACGAAATGAAAGTAACTGTTTGCAATGCAACTGGATCACCTCTATAATATAGTGCAAATTATTATTAGGAACCATCTAATGATACATTATTCATATGTGTGTGTGTGTGTGTGTGTGTGTGTGTGTGTGTTTTTGTAAGATGCACATAATCATTTTTGCATCAACATACTTGATATTTATATCTTGATACTGCTCGTATGTAATGGTGATCAAAATAAAATATAATTATTCATTTTATATGCGTTTTGTGTGTACAAGATGAATTGGTTCAAATTCTTAACAAATGACAGGTGTGATTAATAAAGCACTCGATGAATATAAATATTACATTTACATTACAATTAAAGCAGTGACACATAAACTTTATTCATAATAATCCATGCTTTCCACATTGAAATAATCATTTTACCCCTACCCCTTCCCCCAAAAATGTAACAATTGGTGTTTGTGTCTTTACACAAAGGAAAGAGTGGAAACAAATTACCTATCTTTATTTGCATAAAAAAACAACCATAGATTTTGTCTAGCAAGAGGTCCAGTCACCTGTTTACAATGGCTGTCCCGTCTCTGGCTGTCCATTCATCACGTGTCTTGCACAACTAGGTGAGATGTAGATGTTCCTGTTGCTGCCTTTTTATGTCTGCTTCATATAGAACATCCCCCCATGTCCAGCCAGATAAAGTCTGTTCACCTAGAAGACACCATGCTGAGACTGGAGCTGGAAAAAGAGACATGACAATGTATAAGTGAAGGAACACAAATTAATACAAAGAAAAGACAAAAACCTGACAGTCCACCAGAGCCAGTTGGGAAAAATATTAAAACTACGGTAAACTGCCAAGTGCCCATCTTATATGGTAGACATCAGTGTTGAGGTGATTAAACTATGTTAAGTTAAAAATGACCTTGCCATTTGTAGACTGCTGGGCACAATTGTGACTGACGAGACCAGCACATTCTCAGATTGAACAGAATTAAATAAACAGAACTCTGCCAAATATGCTGGAATTATTGTGAAATTTGCACACAAAATGCTTAACACCTGTAAAAATCTGGGATAATTATATCAGTTGGCTGTGACTAATTAAAAGACACACACACACACACACACACACACACACACAAAGAGAGAGAGAGAGAGAGAGAGAGGGTAAAATGCACACAAACAAAATTTTAAAAGATGTATTCATTTCGTATATGTATTGTGCATATAAGTTTAATTGTTTAAACTAAATAAATGCATTGGTAACAAATGTGAGGTGTGGATCAAAAATGACATTAATTACTAGATACCTACAATGCAAACTACAATTTTAAGTTGGTTCCTTTTAAATAAACAAGTGTGGACTATTATAATAACCCATGCTTTTTAAGTAACATTAAAATCAATTAAATCTAAAAAATGTGTTAATTGGTGTTTTTGTCCCCATAGAGGTAAGAGAAGACCAATTATACCCACTGTTACTTGAAAAACAAAATCAACTGTTCATTTTGTGTACTACCTGCAAGAAGTCCAGTTCCCTGTTTACCATGGCTGTCCTGTCTCTGGCTCTTCACAACCCATTCATCCTGAAACTTGCTGTGTCTTGCACAACTCTGTGGATGAAGGGATATTCCTGCAGCTGTTATTTCCTGTCTATTTTATATTAACAATGAATGTCTCCCATGTCCAGCCAGGTAAAGTCTGTTCACCTAGAAGACACCATGCTGTATGGAGACTGGAGCTGGAAAAAAAGAGACAAAAGATTATATGAAGTGACATACTAGTAAATTATCTTAATAAAAAGACAGAACCCTGACAGTCTACAAGAGCCAGCAGAATATTTAACCTACAATATTCTGCCTAATATCCACTAAATATGACAGACATCACAGTTATGGTGACTGAACAGAGACAATTTAAAATGTCTTTTAGAGGCTGCTTGGCACAATTGTGACTGGTACAACTGTCACAATCTTAAACTGATCAAAGTAAAATAAACAGAACTCTGCCAAATCTTCTGGGATTTTCAAGAGAAATTTGCACACAAATTGCCCATAAACAATGGCTGTAATAATCTTGGATAAGTATATCAGTTGAATGTGCCTTGTAGAAGTACATTTTGTGAGGAGTAACATAAGAGAAGTGAAGAAATTTATTTCAATTGAAAGGAAGCACAAAGTATGATAACTGGTTGGTTGATCTACACGGGAAGTATAAAAGACTATTATAACACAACTACTAAAACAAAACCAAGCAATAATTTTGTGCACTACCTGCAAGGAAGCATTTTTGGCATGGTGATGGGTGACGGTGGGTTATGACCACTGCTCCACCTTGGGTCCAATACATTTCATCTGTTATAGAAGTCGTGGGTCTCACTTGCCATGTGCTTCTTTCATACTCATTCCTTTTACCACGTCATCCACCAGGTGGTGGCCCTGGTCAAGCAATCCACCTTCATCCTGATTACATAGAAATTATCTCAGATTACTTTTTTTTCAGGACAGCGATCCCCTTCATCCTAATTACATAGAAATTATCTCAGATTACTTTTTTTCAGGACAGCAATCCACCTTCATCCTGATTACATAGAAATTATCTCAGATTACTTTTTTTTTCAGGACAGCGATCCGCCTTCATCCTGATTAAATATATATAAATTATGCTCAGATTACTTTTTTTTAGGACAGCGATCCACCTTCATCCTGATTAAACATAAATTATATCAGATTACTTTTTTTTTTCAGGACAGCCATCCGCCTTCATCCTGATTAAATATATATAAATTATGCTCAGATTACTTTTTTTTAGGACAGTGATCCGCTTTCATCCTGATTAAACATAAATTATATCAGATTACTTTCTTTTACAGGACAGCAATTCTGTAAATGAGTCCTTCAAATATACTAAATTCTTCTCTCATGTGCCAGTATGGTTCAATGTCCTCATCTTTACTGTATAGATTCCAATCTCCTGCTGAGATTCTCTCTCCAAGTTTGATTAGTGTTGGGTCAGCGAGGGTTTCCCAAGCTATCTCATCAAGAATCACTGCATTTTCTGATCCTCCTCTCTGTACTATCACCACCCGTTTGTGGCCGTGGGTGTCTGGAGAGACAATCAATAGAGTCTGCATCATTCTTTCCTGGCTCATATACCACTTCCTAGTCAACATCTTGTAAGTCCATCATCCATTCCTCTATTCTCGGTGGTAATCTACTTTGTTGCATATTATAATGTAATTAACATATCTCCCATAATGCATTGTTCTCTCTCTACCAGTTAGCCAGCATGGCTGGACGTGTTATGTAATAAATGAGTTATTAAAANGAACTGATTATGTTTATTAGCAACTTTAAAAAAAAAAAAAAATTCCAGGATTTATTTTTATAAAAAAAAAAGGGAGATGTTGCATATTATAATGTAATTAACATATCTCCCATAATGCATTGTTTCTTCTCTACCAGTTAGCCAGCATGGCTGGACGTGTTATGTAATAAATGAGTTATTAAAAAAATGTTAACTTGAGTTACATAACAACAGAAAACTACGACACCTTTCACATTTTCTAGCTAGCTCAGGTGTATATTCTTCCCATGTGTTATGTTATTTATTCCAGGATCTATGCATAACCTGTGAGTATCTGACTTATGGGCCACAATTACTCAATTTGCCACAAATACGTCTGATTCAATCTGACATACTGAAATTTTAATTATAGGTATGACATTTAGTCAGCAGTAACAAATGTTGTTGCATGTTACAAATATAGATTTTATACAAAACCCACAAGGAAATAAATGTTAAATAATTTAAACAACTGTAAAACATAACTCTGAGAGCCTTTGCAGTTATTCATACTGCAAGTAGTATGTTATATTAATGAAAATGATTCACAGGGGAGGGGCATGACAATTATTCCCATACTCCTAACTGTACAACAACAGGACCATCATATTGCCTTCCCAAGACATGTCATATAATCAAATTGTAAAATATATAAAATATGAGTAATATTACAAAATTATCAATAAACTATATAATACAATGCTTGTTCATTGTAGTTCTTTTTCAATTTTTATTTACTGTTTAAAAAGAAGCTCCGACCCCCTCCATTGCATGTTATCCTTCAAATGAGAAATAGGGAAGCGATTTAAGGAGGGTCCCATTGGGCATTTTCTTATCTGTGAAAGCCACTTTTTCTTCCCCAAGAAGTGTGAAATGCACATATTATTTAGCATGATCCATAAAGAACCCAATTCCTGTAACTCGTGAATGCAGCTTCATCATTTTCCATCCTACATGAAACAAAATTATTAACTCGCTGGTTTGTGATTTTTAACTCATAATACCTGTATACTTTCAATGAAATATGAATAAAGTCTTATTTACTGTGATTTGTGAATTAACGATTTTATTTCCTGTGAACTGCCCTCCCCCCACCCCAATAGGATCCTCTTGAAAGGGCACACATCACTAACAATTATTACATAGGTGTATTTCACCCTTTAAAATCCACATTGTTGTTGATGTTTTTGTTGTTTTTTTTCTAAAATAGTTGTAAATGTCAGTATTACTCATGTAAACTAATCCATGGCACACACTGATAAAAAAAATTCAATGCCTCAATTCATTAGAGAAGTTGTGTTGAAGGGATGGGTCACAATCATGCCGCTTGCACTAACACACAAAATAAAAACACAAGCTATAAAGATATATCGAAATAACAAAATTCTCCGGGTGACTTTGAGATACCACCTATCATTCTGGCTAAGCAATGCCAATGCGCAAGACCAAATTAGGTCAATCCCGTAGAAATAAGGGCCGTTACCCGTCAAAATACTGGGTCACACGCATGTACTGAAGCTAGAACGGTGTCCGCTCAAATGAATGAAATGTTGCATTTTCATTAGTGTCGATCAGATTAAACTACGCGTCTTATACCCTTCGAATTCTTAATATTGAGACGGTGACTCATTCCGTTAACTTCTAGACCTTCTAGATCTAACATTAAGCATTCGTCACGTTAGCGGACACCCCCTTCCTTTTTCATTCGATAATTTCGGCAATTTTACGTACAAATTTAAAATGTCACACATTTATACCTTAACCCATAGTAATTTATTGCTTCAAAGTATAAACAAGCAGTAAAAACACCTACCATTTTGACAATTTGTGATACCTCCGACTTGAGACTGACTATCAGAGTTTAACTTCCTTATCCGAGAGAAGGCTTACAAGGGTGGCAGGCACTTCTTTCGACCGGCTATTTATCCGCTGGGACTTTCGAACAGCAAATAAATGCTATGATTGGACAAAAATACATTTGCTGCGTAACGTTTACATCACTTTTGAAAATTACATATAACTTGAGTCGAAGTCGTATTATTCTGGGGTGTTAGAAGTTCAAAGTGCAGTATGAAGACTCAGATACAATGCATTATTTATTTTAAAAGCACAGCAAATTGCATTGTGTATTTAGGCAAGACGATCTACATTTATGTGCGCACTTACATGATGTAAATCGTCAGACATGCCTTCTTTACCACGTGACTGCGGACTGCCTTAGCAAGAACTTGCCTTATATGGTTAGGCGTATAAACTTCACTATTTCACGGGATATCACAGACTTGAAAATATATTAACTTTAATTCATAGGTAGATAAAGCGCAAGACAAATTCAGTGGATAAAATATGCCTAACTTGAAAATGGTAATCAGTGCAGAACCTTGGAATGTTGACACGACTGCCTTGCTGCATTGCAGTATACCGTACTACTACGATCTGGAAATGTTTTGCAATCCGCGCAGTAGCAAAAGGATTATCAGTGTTGTTTTAAACTCTTGCCGCAGACAATACCCACTCCTTACTCTGTTTGCTTCTAAAACCATTTCAGTATTGTAACTTTTTGTGAAATTCACAGGCAACAAAATTTCATAGCGCTCATTATTCAGCAAAGCTGTTAAATGTAAAGACATAAAGGCAAAATATAATGCACACAATAGGTTTTTAGTCAATGGTATGCAATTTTATATATTGCTTTACAGTAAAATCAACACCAAAATTTAAATATATGGATAACAGGTAACACGGTCTGGATATCAAGAACATGTAGCTAGCATAGGCTTCGGGCGCAGGAGAGTTCACACATTGAAAATGCCAGAATGAGAAAAATGAAAATTTCACAAAATTGCATAAACTCAACAAAAAATAATCCTATCAAGCTGGTTTAACAAATTGAACTGTATTTCAATCCTAAGGATTGTTCTTGTAAGTTAGAAAACAAAACTGTTTTCCTTTCCGAGCATTTGGGTGGCAGTGCACAAAATAGATTTTTTTTGTCCATTTGAAGCAATATTACATGCTGATTAACTGAATAATAAATACCATTTTTTTAGTTATCTACTATACATACCATGGACATTCAGAAAATGTATAACTACCATGCTCGTGGGAAGTCCCACATTGAAAATGCCAACGTGAAAAATGAACATTTCACAAAAACTGCATTACTCCCAAATAAGAATCAAATCGGGCTGTTTTTCCAATTCAATCTGCATTTCACTCTGGTTAATCTTTTCTGTAACTTTGAGAATAATTATGGCAATAGTGCCCAGAACAGGGTTTTCTTCAATTTTGATGCAATATTACATAATGCTTCACAGTATAATCAGCAGCAATCTTTAATTAGGTACCTAATCAATGATAGTGAAAAATGATATCAGTAATAATTAAAGACAAGGTTAGGCCAAATTCAGGCTGTTTATTAATTTCTTTAACTCTCCTTGATCCTCCATTCTGATAAATTGATTTTTAATCACAAAGAATCTAACACACACATACAAATATATACGTACTGATATGTATTAACATGTATATCTTGCTTCACAATTCGCTGACAAATTAACTAATCGCTGAATGTTTAATCATAGGGAAAACTGAAACAAATGGAATGTCTACTGACAATAAATTATGTAAGCCATTTACTTCTTCATTTTATGCACCAACAAACCCAAAGGATTGCCTATAAAGTTGAAAATGCCAATTCTTTACCCCACCGACAATCCTCCTCTCCCACTATGCAGGGTTGTTAAAATGATATGATTTGGGGCATACTGCAGTATGTAATTGTAAAACATGTTTATGATCAGTGTGCCTTTTTTCTCACCTTTAGAGAATGTTGGGTGGGTGGGGTAATGGATTTGCTATTTTGTTTTAAAAGGGGAAGATGGGCAGGATGCTGTCCCATGATCCTCTTTTGTTTGAGGTAAGTTTTAAAAACAGCAATGATAACTACTGGTCTTGTATCAGTAATACAGAATGTGCTTAACCTTTATATCCAAAGTAACAAAATAAAGTCATAGAATCTGATAATATTTGCTCTTAATTACCACTTGAAAACCATTGTGACAGTGCAGTAACATTCATAGAGTATTAAAATCAAGATATTGAACATAGTATATACAATGAAACATTACCAGGGTTTATATATATATGCAATTGCATGGTGACACATTCCAAACATCAGATGGTAGATAATGTATTATGTCAGAGGTTCAAAATATTCCAAAGATTAACAGCAATGCAATGTAGGCAAAAGACCTCTGACAGGATTTGTTTGTGCACCCCACTAGAAATAAACAGGTCTGATATTCATTTTACTTTCTTGCAAATGAGGCAATATCATTGGGATACAAAACAACTGGAATGACAAACCTCAGTCTAATTGCCTTTCCTAAGAAATGAACAATTTGAAAAAGTGAAATTAATATTATAGCCTTAATTGGAGTATTAACATCATGATTTCAATCTTATATGGAAATGACAGAAATAATTTACGAAATAAATTAAAAATACAATTTACACTGCAGTAATAAAACTTTTACAATATTAAGTTGTACATATATCTATATTTACATCAAATACTATGGGCACCATAAAGACAGCTAATGAATCTAAACATTTTTTTCCTATTAAAATTAGCACCATAATACCACACCACTCATATACTGCCACATAACATCTCTTCAAAATCAAACTGATTCCTTATTTAGCATTTCACCAAAATTAGCTTCAACGTTTTAATTTCCCATGGTTCCAAGATAAAAACACTGATTATGGATGTATTTCAGTGTAAATTTGTAAATCTTTGAAAATATCAATAAAACAACAAGTCCTAGCTATAGTAATTGACCATGACTGCCACATGCAGGTAGACCATAATACACAATTCTTGCTAATTATCACTTTGCTTTATATTCAGACTATCAATGGCAAACTACATTCAGCCACAGCTGAAGCACAGTAGGGCCATGAAGAAGTGATCTGAATTTAAGATCCAGACAAAAGTTTCCTTTTCAATGAATAAATTTTTTTTTTCATTCACTTATCTTTTGACATTTTCATCCATATTTTTGTTCATTCACTTATGTTTTAACATTGTCATTCATATTTTTGTTCATTGACTTATCTTTCAACATTTTCATCCATACAGTGTATCAAGCAGTTACAAGTCTAGACGTCCTTGACCTTTAAGTCCTAGATGACCTTGAACTTTTAATTATCCAGGTCAGCAGAGCAATTTGATACTACCATTGTCTGCTCCTAACAGTAACATTCTGTTCAGTGGTAGGACAGCCATGGATGTCAAAGATCCCTTGAAGGTGTCAGAGCGTAGTTTGGTACTGCTGAACATCGCCTGTAAGCAAACCATCAAAATCAACAGTCGAGTTTACTTTAAGAAAATAGTAGTTGAGTTATAAACATGTTGTTAATGGAAAGTGATTGATTCTATTTACCATGCTTTTTCAATTACGTGCACTTTGCTTTAAATTCCACTGCAGACATAAATGCTGGCTGTAGTCTAATATTTATTCAAATAACTTAAATCAAGTATATCTGAAATACAACAAACGATATTATAAATTATACAAATGGGGGTGTCTTCTGCACCCAAGTCTCTGCACCCAAGATTACTGGTTTCTGAGACCAAAAAATGATGTTTGTCTAGGCTATGCCTCACACTTTAATGATCTACACTAAAAGGTGAAGCGAGCAGTTTTTTCGTTTATTCTATTCTTACATGACTGTCCAGTGACGTGTGGACTCCTATCTTGTTCCCTGCTGTGATGGAAATCATCTCATTCCTGTAGAAACTGATGCCATGAACAGGCTCACTGTGACCTGGTAGAGTGAAGATGATATTCAAATATGACAAAATAGCTTCCTGCGTGTATGCACACTCTTTTATCTTGTTTTTAAAAATCTTTTATATGTGTTAAGGGTTATGTTAGGTTTGGTTTGAATAATTCGAATATTACCCAATAACATCAGTATCCCTTAAAAAACTGCATAAATGCCCTTTTTATGCTATCAAAAAAAATCATAAGTATGCTCCAAGAGCAGCCACTACTAGTATAAACTCGTATAAAAACTCAAGCTCACAGTTTCTCACCTTAATACATGTATACATGTACCATGAGCTCAAATTCTCTGTTGATATTACCTTCAGATTAACCAAGCACGTAAAACTTCAGCAAAATGTAAAACATAACCTACTCCGGCACTTTGAGTAAAAATGAACATACCTTTCATAGAACACATATATCTCTGGTCCACATCTGTCCTCCATAAATGAACCATGTTGTCCACCCCAGAGGTGACAAACTTTCTGTCATTAAATGCCTTTAACTGTAAATGAAAGGAGGTTACATTTTTAAATCAAAGCTATCAATGATGAACTGAAAATTAAAGTGATATTGACAACAGTACACCAACTCAAGCACAGCTACCTTCATTATGTCTCCTTCATGTCCCTTCCAAGTGCCCAGTAACAGTCCAGTTCTTGTGTCCAGCAAGGACAACACCCCGGCAGAGAACCCCACTGCCACCCAGTTACCAGACGGACTAACTGTCACACAGCGAAGAACACCTGGAACAATACCAAAAGTTTTGGATTACTGAATCTGAGGATCATATTTCCATAACTATAAAAACAATGTGGAATTCAGTCTTCCGGGTACATTTGTGAATATATAACAGTGTACGTTAAAAATCGGTTAAGCAATAAATAAAAATGTATATTTGTCTTAATGAAATCCTATAGGTAGCTCCATAATTAGAATGGCTAAGGAGACTGATACTGTAATAAGCCTTTAATAGAAAAATTCATAGGCAAAGCAGAAAATATTAATCACAAATCCACCTTGACTAGACATTACTCAAGACAACCAGCTGTACATGTAAAAGTACTCGATCAGTGCTCATAAACTTGGTTATAAGGATATTTCCCCTAAGTATAAAATTAACACATTTTAACCTATGCCTGAAATAAATTTTGAGAAAACAGAAATATCAAAGTCAAAAAGATTTTTAATATATGAAACACATTGATAGACATTTCATTTCAACTCCTGTTTGATGATAAATGGTGTTTGGCAGTGCAACAAAATAGCCACACTGAAGGACTAAAAGATCAACTGAGACTCAGCATCAAAAGTTTTCCCAAAACATCCACCCTGTGCATATAACACCTTGTTTTGTTAACCCTAGGCCTCCCCCAATCCTCACACATAGTAAATACAACACATAGATTTATGACATCCCACCTCTTACCCATTTTTTATATATACTATACACATCTAACACTGTACCCCACACCAACACTCTCACACTACCTGTACATACAAAACTTTTTATTATAACACGCCCAAGCCAAACCCACAATAAAGTTCCATCATAAACTTGATGGATTTTCTATGACAGCTATTATCTCTTTCTTGGGCTATGTTTTCTTCAGATTCATCTTAATTTGGAGATGTCAATTAATGTCTCAAAGCAATCCACATTAAAAATGCACCACAAACATTCTGCAAAAGGTTTTCCTTTTTAAAAAATTTGATCCAAACGAGAGACTTTATCAAGTAATAATGTAACACCAAGCTTTTAAGACGACCAATTTTATGCACTTTCCTTATAATCACTCACTTTGTTTATATAACCTGTCCTTTAGATCTGCATGCATAGTAATGAAAGTTCAATTTGCTGAATTACTGGTTATAATTTACTTCAATAATCAATTTGCCTATCTCTCAAACAAACAGATTTTTAAAGAAGTTAACAATAAAGAGCATTCATTAAGTGATAAGAATGTAAAGAATATTTTTAAAATCTAAATCATGTTCTCAGTTATTCAATATTACACTAATTTTTATTGATTCACACAGCTTTCTTAATTTTGTCAGTGAAGTCATGCTCTTACCTGCTGGACCCGTGACACATTTATATTCCTGCATGAACTTTCCAGCTCTCACATCTAGGAATCTGAAGTGAAGACGTATGATGTCATATAAATGCCCACTACATAATTAAACTGTAAAAAGTCACTGCCTTTTATATAATCAGCTTTCAGTTACATCTTTTTATTTATATCTTTACTATTATTATTATTATTATTATTACTTAACTTTTTATTTTTACTTCTGTTGGAGGAGGTGACAGTACACAATGATGTATTTGATTACAATTCAATGTTTTTATTCTCATAAACTACCTTAGTGATCCTTCATTAGTTCCACACAATATGGTGTTATGGGGTGGTGACATGCAACAAAATGCTGCCACAGGATTGTTCTTACTGCTGTCAAACTGACGTATTGGCATTCCCACAAATGGGTCCCAAATCTGCAGAGAAAAATAAAATCATAGAAAAATCACCCTGTAATTAGAGAGCATCATGTCCATTTTTCAAATAAGTATTTTCCTCTTTTATTTAATCCTTTTTTTTTTTTTCGGGGGAGGGGGGCTTACTACGTACATAAAGCAAGAATTTTCATATAACACTGAAAAAATAAAAAATTTATAATAAATTCCAATCTTTTCAACAAGCTGCTCATCAGGAGAAACAGACCTCAAGTACCAACCAGAAATCTATATCTTATGCGTATATCTGAATATTGTAAATTTAATGAAAATGCCTGCAATTATGTAATAAATTGAACATCATATCCTTTTCACTCAAGATAACCTTATAGCAACTGCGCTATTGTTGCTTTAAAAATATATATACATAATAAAAACAAATAATAAAATTTAAGACATACTCAATGACAACAAAATTCACACTAGACCACCTACATGAACTGAGCTATCACTGGAAGCAGCCAGTCTCATGGATTCCAAGAAGGTAACAGCTAACACTGGCTTCCTGTGTTGTAGGTAGGTCCACTGTGGATGACTCCTAAGTCAAGAAGAAGAAGTCAAAAATAATACAACATTATCAGCAATTAAAGGAAGAGAGGTTATTTACAGTGTATTGATAAGTACTGACATAAAAATCTGTGAGTGCTTAATGAAATAGTAATAATGTAATATGCAATCATCATCATCATCATCATCATCATCATTGGTTTTTCAGGTTCTCTGTTCTAAATAATCAGGGTTGGACTCTTTTCTACACTGGCCCTCCTCCATTCTTGTTTATTTCTAGGAATGGTGACTAAAAGACAGATTGAGGACGTCTTCTGGGTCTTCCTGAAGTCGGTCAGATTTTCAAGTTTACATTGACGGGCATCTAAATTTTTCCTGTCAAAAGATGGTCAAAAATGGAGAACTGATCAATAAGGATAATTTGGAAGACTATCAGATAATAGCTCTGGATCTGCCCGTGACCCCAGTTCATACCTCGCAGAACCATCCCCAAAGCTCTGAATGCTCCACAGCTTCACAGTCTTGTCCTTGCTGGCGCTGAAGAAGCAGTTCTCGTTGTCCATCACATGTATTGAGCGCACAGAGTTGGTGTGATCTATAAATTATTAAATTCAAAATGATTTTAACATCACTTTTTTTTTCATAGAAAAAAAATCTTTAGAATTAAATAATTTGCTTTCTGCATGATTTCATGATTTTATTCAACACCATCTATCTTAAACTTAAACACTTAACAAAACAGAATATGAAAAAATATGCCCCCCTCTTAAAAAATAATCTAATAAGTTTATGTGAAAACTGTAACTTACTTGAAAACGTCTGCAATTTTATTTGTTTGAAATTAAACCTTGTATCCTTTTCACTCAATCCTAAAAAAATTTATAATAATAATAATAATAATAATAATAATAATAATAATAATAATAATAATAATAATAATAATAATAATCTTTTATGCTCATTCAGATTAATAGGTTCTATCCTAGATTTGAACCCAAAATATTAAAAGTAAATAATGTTGATAATATTGTGAAAGTAATTATTTATGTTTTGCTATTAAACATATAATGTAAACCTTATGCCCCAATCAGGGGCAAAATTTAATGAAGAGTGAACATTTATTCCAAATTATTAAGATTATATTCAATGTTAAAATAAAATCAAGTCTACACATCAACTACCATGGGCCTAAGATATTGTTGTTAAATCGTACCAATTTCATGCTCCCAATATGCCAACCAGTTGCCCTTCAGGTGGCGTGATGTGGCAGTTTCCATCTCAGGGCTGAAATAAGTCATATAGTACAGGTAAAAACGTGTGCTTAGACTAACACAACATCTAATACAATAGGGCTTCTCTTGAGATTTTGATGCATTTTTTGTCTTTGTTTGTTTTGATAAGTGACACCTTTACTCAATACAGATGTTCTACCCAGTATACAGGAAAACGAGAAATGTTCTCCAATTAAGTGGAAACTCCCTTAGGTTTCCAAATAATTGCCTTAAGTGTATAAAACTATTGCAGTAGAACAGAAGTAGTTGCAGAATTTACAATAACAACAAGAAAAAATTTAATTCTCCAAAAATATTTAATATCTTTTACTTATCTTTAATATCTTTTAGCTTACTGCTGTATTTATAACTATCAGAAGTTAAAAATAAAAATTTATTTGTGCAGTATCAAGTCAACAACATCAAAAACAAAGAAAGAGAGAGAAAACAATGAAATACAGCACAAACCATTTCAGTTTCTTAATATCAATCTGCTTAGGGTTGTCCACTGATCTCCTGACATCTGGAAGTTTCTTTTTAGGGAGCAGACGATCTTGTTTCACTGCTGCCATGGACACCAGATGGTCGTCCTCACAAGACACTGCCAACTTGTTCCCTACCACTTTGACATTCTTACCAAAAGAACCTGTCACTATGTCTTCCTTGTCCTTTTGCTCGCCAAGGAAGCCTAGAAACAAATAAGAACTAGTTCATGAAGATCATCAAACTCTGCAGTTAAAATAACACACTAAGTGTTATCTCATTTGCCTTATAACGTTTAATATAACGTAATATAATATAACGTTTCAAAAAAGTTTGCAAATTTTATCATTGATACACTTCAAATTTTTCATTTGGCTAAATCATACACAACTATTTGGCTGAAAGGAATTTAAATCTGGTGTCTAGATCATCATACCATAACAGGACATAAGGTCAATACAAACATAATATATTATTCTTCACCAATCTGAGACTGTAACATTGAACATTTTAAGCTGATCTATAATTGAAGTATTTACCAACCATTGGCATACAAGCCACCATCATTAATAAGATCATTAGAACAAATGACCTACATATACATATACTGTATGAACAATCATAAGTAACAAACTCAAATATATGAGCTATTTTGGGGTTAAAATCTAAATTTTTCATATAAATGGTAGTGACACTTTTCAAGGTAAGAATACAACCTTTACGTAATTCATGTAGAGCACTAATTCTGTATTTCATGCAACTGTCAAAGCCTACAGTAGCATGCATGAAATTTACCGCCATACAGTCTATGCATACAGTTACTGTAGTGTTGTGTTGGCTTAATGAGTATGCCGACTCAATTTTTCTAGTGTAGTGTTTAGTCCACTATTTTGTTCATTTATCAAATAAGTATGCTTTCTTTAAGAATGTTGTATGGGATTTCAGTGTTTAATATTAGCATTTGGGGTATTTACTGTTTTATTCATGACAGATGCTAAAATATCTCTGTGGCAGGATATTTCACCGTATTTCTTAAGCATTTCTTTTACATGTTAACACCATTGTTCTACATTTTCATCCATTCGTACTTTTACCAAACAGAAAATGCCCAACAGTTCCCACAAAATCCATAAGTCCTAATTAAGGCCTGGGTGCATGATGCCACCCTGTCTCTCAAAATCCTGTCCAAAAGCCACTGCAAGAGGGTTTGCTGGAAATCCTCACGAGAATGGAATATGTACAACCTCCAAGAGCAATTCCTCTTTGTACTTCTAGTTCATTCTCTATACATATATATTATGATAGTGGCTCCTATACTCACCTTCAATAAACCATCTTGTCTGTCCAGGGGATGGCAGAACGTCACCTGGATAGAAATAATCAAGCAAGCTTCATTGTGCATTAATTAAGCTGCATAAGGATGTGCAGAAACTGGTTCACAAAAAATAAATAAATAAATAAATAAATAAATAAATATGTGAAAAGACAGGCATTAGCAGAGATTAGCAACCTGAACAGTTTTATAAATAATGCAAATGACTTCTGACCTCATATTTTTGGTCTTTTAATTGTGCCACGAGAGCAAACTGTGACTGCTGACATGTGAATGATTATTCTAAGCCATTTCCATACAGCAATGCTATTCTGCTAATATTGCATAGTTAGCTAAACACAGCCAATATTGCATAGTTAACTAAGCACAGTCAGCTGTCCATGTGTAGCAGTCTTCGCTAAGCCCAAAAATAAAAGTCATTTTGTGTGTGCAATGCTTTCAATTGTCTGCATCTCAGTGGGCTGTAATATTCTGGTGTAAAACCTTATAATCCAGGCTTAACACCATCCGGTGTGCCTGTGAGTAGGAAGGTCTGTGTAGTGAGTGAGAAGGTTTGTGAAAATTTTTCATAAAATTCATTATCGCTGTACTTGATGTAGTGAGATGTGAAAATCAATAAATGAACCATCACCTGCTTGGTTCCCTATATTTAAAATGAACTGTCAGTTTTTCAGGCTCCTATCTCAAGGCTTTTTATTCACTTACCATTGAGAAAACCATCACTTTCCCCAGAATCACTGGAGTCTCCAGAGTAGTCCATTTTGTTCTGCAGTGACGTTTCCTCATCATGTCTCGTGCACAGCTCACGGATCAGGCTTTCATTCTTCAGGTATTGTTCCATGTGGATCCTGAAAAAACCAACACATCTTACAAAAGATTCACGTGTAGGTAGAAAAAATATTATGATTTCTATAGTAGGCTATTTTCAGTTGAAAAAGGAATTCAAAGGACTTTTCAACATCAATACATCAATACTAATCTAGGGTTCAATAAGATGGTGGAACACTTCCATCTCAGATAAGTCATAAGCAAGCCGACACAGAGAGAAAACATGTCAATCAAAAAACCTGAGGTCAGGTCACAGGTTAAAGGTCAAGGTCAAACCTACCCTCCATAAACTTGGCAAAGAGGTATGTAAGCAGTATAAGCCATCTCAGGAGTAAAGGTCTGCCTGAGCTCATCCATTATTTTCTCCTTGGTAGCTACCTGCTCTGGGTTGTCTTCATCAGCTGCAATATAAAGATTGAGCGATAAAACATAATCAAATGGTAAGTGGCGATCTAAACAAAAAACACTGAACAGATACAACTGGTCGACTATTAATATGTTGACCGAAAAGCACAGAATGTGCGTATGTGCATGCATGCAGACCAGCATTTCTGTATGTCTTGGTCAGTTTGTCTACTCTGATAAGCATTCTGTGCTCACTTAAGTATCATAATCTAATCAGACTGTGATTATACAGTTTTGCTATAACAGATTATACCTTAGAGTTAACCAAGACAAACCTTGAGAGTGGGGCACCACTGGTTCTAAAGGCGTGAGGCTGTGAGAGCGTCTGTGCCATGATCCTGAGCTGCCGAAAGACTTTGTGGGACTTATCAAATCAGCAACACATACAGGTGTGCCTATCTTGTACTCATTGTTGACACTGTCCTTCTTTATTTCCAGGAATAGTTCATTTGAGTCTGTCAGGCTCTCTAGAAACCAAGCATAATCTATAATATATATTAACAATTGAAAAAGACTGGTCAACCTTATAAAAATTTTAATTAATTTACCAAATAACTATTAAATTTTAAATCCAAAATGCTTTTGAAAGTTTAGTGGAAACTGACATATATGGGAATTGAAATTATTCCTTAATAAAGAATAATAGACAAGTATAATATACCTTTCTTGTTTGGGATGGCAGTAGCAGAACTTCTCTTTGGTTCATTGTTGCCTGAGTGCTTTCTTTCATGCACCAAGTCAAAGACTTGGAAGAAACACTGCATAACCTGAGACATATGTTGTCTGGTTTGTTCAAAGCCGATCCTCAGGCAAATCAGGTAGATCACATCCACCACTTTGTAGCAGAGGAGTTTCCGCACATGGCCTCCACTGGGAAAACTGATTGTCGTGGAGGAGAGAAGTTCGATGGTAGGGTACAGCATGTCTTTTAATATGCTGCGTGTGGTCTTCATTCCATCATCCTAAATACATCAATTTAAAAAAAATTCATTAGATCTTCTCTATATAATTATAACCGTCTTAAAACTAAAATTAAATACTAAATTAATTCAAAAGGCCGTCTTCTGGGTCTTCAGAATTTTTTCAAGTTTACACTGACGGGCATCTTATTTTCCTGTTCATAGACGGCCAAAAATGGAGGATGGATCAAAAAAGATAATTTGGAAGACCAACAGTAAATATCTCTGGAAAAGTTTTCGTGCCCATTACCTGTAAGTAGTCCATGAGGGTGGTGTCTGACAGGTAAGGGATGATGTATTTGAGAAGGGTCAGACAGCTGACCAGACCTGCCTCACTACGGGGAGTCAGTCTCTTCATGGCAGTGAACACCTGGAATTATTAATATAATCAAGGTATTAACTGTTTTATCTTTAATAGCTGCCAGGTTTTGGAAGTTACTTCCATCCAGAGAAGCTAAAAAGAAAACTTAAGAGATAAACTACCTTACATAAAATAATAAAATGAGTCAAAGAAATAGGTCATATAATAAAAGAGAAGGGAGGGGGGCTAAAATGATACAGAAAACTTTTTGGATTTCATAAAGCTTGTTAAGTTTTTATAAGATTACTAAAATAATTTACAATATTTGCAATAATTTTAATTTTAATTCTAGGCTTGCCCTTTGTGAGCAGATTACAACCACACAGTGCGGATGACCAGCATTTTAAATTTCAAGTTCTTCTGGACACCCTCGTCCACCCCTGACCACTTTCTCTGGCCATTTTCTCTTTTGCAAACTTTTTGCTGCTTTAAGATGTTTTTAGGTACATGATTGGTCATTTTATATATGTGCTACATACCAGCTCCAACATGTGTTTAAAGTACTGCAGAGCAACTGTTTGCTCGCCATACAGAACTGCTATGTATCCCAGAGACTCCAGTATCTTAGAGGCATTTAGATCTCCAACAACCATTTTCTTACAGGCAGATATATCATTATCTGTAAAATAAAATTAACAAGCGGGTTTTAAACCTTCATTTGAAAATACACAATGATGCACCCCTGCACACACTATCTTCGTTAACTACATTGTATTCTGAATTTTCTTTTCATTTTCATTTGGTTTGAAATCATCTATCACGAAAAAGAGATAAAATACAAGTTTTTTTAATGGTTTAAGACTTACCTATTTCATCAAATTCCACAAAGCAGAGCTGCTCCTCTTCCAGGTAACAAAGAACAAGCATACGTAGTAAGTTGTGTGACAGATGTTTAGCAGTAAGCACAGGGCCCAGTTTCTGTGAAAGCCACTTGACTGTCTCCGTGGCAACATCCCGTACATTGTACTCCGACCTGTTCATTGTGCTGTCCAAGGTGCACGACAAGCTCCATTTCTTTCTCTGAACTGAAAATTTATTTTTATTATTGAAGATTGATCATTACTTTTGGTGAAATCCTTCTTCACATATCAAAAATTAAGAAAGCCTCTCCGAGCAAAAATGGTCATTACATAGCTTACAATAAATTGTTTAATCTTTTCATGGTCTTTATTCATCAAACAATTTAATAATAAACCATTATTTTTCTCTCTGTTTAATACCCAACTTATAATCAATCATCTAAGTAAATATATCTTGAGTAGAGACAGACTTCTCAGTGCGTTTCAAAGCCTTTAATCTTCAAAAGTAATCTCTGACCTGTTTGTTTTCCTTTCTGTTCGGGTGTCTGATCAGCACTACTTATGGAGGTTTGAGAGGAAATGCGTTTACGGGCTCCAATTTCAGATTCCTTCACTTCCATGGGTCCTTTAGACCCCCATTTGTGCGCAGGGACCAAGGGGGTGGAATGTGTCCCTAAACTGCCAGCTATGCTGTCTGGGGCATCATCAGATGGGACATCTAGGGCAGGGTTCGATGCTGCTTGGACCTCTCCACCCTTAATGTCCTCCATCTCAAGGTCTGACCTAGCGCTAGTTATGGATTTCTGATCCCCAATGGAATCCGTATCCGTGGAATTGTTGTGGTGACATGCAACAGCACCATCTTCTTCTTCCACCCCATCTAATGAGATCTTTTCTGGGAAATTTTCATCAAACTGCAATGCTTGTTCTGACATTTCAGATATTTGTCTGTCTAGGAAGCCACTGGCTACTCCTTCCTCACTAGATATAAAGTCATACTTTATTACTGTGTCTTCATCAGTTTCCATGGAAGCAGAGTCAAGGTCATTGTCGTCGTGGGTCATGCTGGGGTCAGAGGTCACATCTGGAATGAAATCTTTATAGCCACTTGTGGCCTCAATAAGGAGTGTCACAAAACTGCTGAGAAAAGCCTCCAGACCTAGGCGTATTAGCAACTGCAACAAAAATGTCCTGTGGTAAAGTTTGAAGTGCTTTGGGGTAGTGTTTTCTCCATCGTAGAGTTTCGTGAGAGACTGCAGGAAATGCTTAGACATGGCAGTCGGACCGAGCAGTTTGGCAACAGGTCCAAACAGATTCCAAGCTGCATTCACCATGGTAGCACGATCTGAGAACAACTCCTTTAAATATGGCATGAGAAGTTCAACCCCAGCCTCGTCTAGTTTAGGGCTAAGTTGGCTAAAATTTCTGGCAAAGATATCAACCTTATTCTTCATCAGCTTTGAAAAACTTCCATCATCCGAGACTTCATGAACATCGTTGAAGTGGGAAAATAAGCTGTTATCTGCTGCTCGGAGTTCTTTCAAAAAAGCATACAGCTCTGGGAAGTAAGCAGGAAATGAAATGACTTGGAATGTTGGTTCTAGCAAGATGCTGGCATTGGGAGGTGGTAGACCTTCTCGCGACTGCAGTCGGTATGGAAAGGCGAGATTAGAATCTGCTGCACTTGCTGGGAGACTTCGGTTCAGTTGAAGAAGCCACTTCACTACATGACGTATAGGCCTATGTAATTGAAAAACAGGTAATCAAAGTAAACTGTCCTAAAATCTGTTCCATTTTATGCTATAAAACTCATGGAAAGACATGTAAATTGGCTTGTAATACCACTCTCACTGAAAACTAGACTGACAGTTTGAAACAAATTAATTCTCAATTAAAACATAGAGACTGGAAGTTATTTGTTGTGATCTTTGACAAGTAACTACAAAAGATTTTGGCATATTTCCAGCTACATGTTAAGCTAAATGACTTAAACAAGGAACTTATTACAAATGAATGTTATTATCAGTGCCACTGTAGCTAAAACTGAAGACTTTCAATTATTTTTAATTCTGCAGGTCAAGTATTCATTACCTTGGTAATTCATGGAAGAATTGCCTTGCTACGCCCCTCACAATCCGACACCTTCCCTTAAAGGAGGTCTCAAAGCTGATGGCATGCAACTTGGCACTAAGAAACATCTCAACCAGTAAACAGCCCAGGATTTGCATATCTCGGTTAACTTTATCTTGGATCTGTGCCTGTACCGTTTGAATTTCCTAATGGACAAAAAAGGTGGATTCAATTAAACATGAAACACATATCAAATATTAAAAGATTTAAATGCTAGTTTTAATTAATAATCTTTTCAACCTTTTATCAAGTTTAGCATTTAATTAATAATCTTTTCAACCTTTTATCAAGTTTATCTCTTGATGATAACAGGACTATTTTTATTGGTTTTATGTCCCTCCAGTTCTTGAGATTATCACATTTTTAATACTTCTTTAATTTTTTTCTTCTAACAAAATTAATATTTTTTTCTTTTATTTCGCAGCTAATGCTACTTAACTTCCTAATATATTCTGTCATCCTCCTTTTTTGTGGAACATTCAAAGTGAAAAAATATGAACAGGATTTATTTTTCTTTCATTGCTTTACCTCCACGGTCTTTCTTTGTGGCCAGGAATGCAGAACTGAGGTGGAAAAGCCACATCCTCTTTCCACTTCGTTTAAGAGCTCCAGAGGATCGTAATTTTCAGGCAATGTGATTGGCACTTTCCATGGCATCATATTAGCTACCAAACCTGGATCTGATTGCAACCTGTGAAAATATTTTAACATCAAATTAATAAAGTTAAATGACACAGCAATGAATCTCCTGGCCTTTGTCAAAGGAGTGAAAATCAAAGTTACAATCATTTTCCTCTTTTAGGCGTACTTTTAATGTTCATATTTATGTGCGTTTGTCATTTTTTAATGACATTACATTATTAATGGAAAATAGGTAAATTACATATGAACAAAATGTGAACAAAATAATTTTTGACACTTCACTACATCTTTACCTGCGTTCTGTAGGAGGAGTGCCTGGTCTTGGCAAGTCTTTCTCAACTGTTTCACTAAACACCTAATTAAGTACAGATAGGCAATATTCTATGAATTCCACCCTTTCCAAAATTATCAAAATATTGCATCTTATTTTCATAATACACATTTTAACCTTATTCTGAAATATCTTACAACTGTCCGACATTCCGTTTAATTGGCCTTCAACATAAAATCTTGTTTTTGTTCGGAAAAGACACAAATAAGTTTTTAGCCATTCTTGGTTTTTTTTTTTTTTTCCTAATTTTAACTCTCTGATGGGGTAATGCCATCAACTTTTCCCCTCACTAGAACAATGCAAATCAGTGTCTGCTCAATCCAGAGTTTCGCTAGTACCAGTTTATATGGTGTTAATGGGGTTTTCCTACCTGCAAAGCTGCCTGTATTCGGTAAGGATCTCCTGTGCCTTTTACGAACTCATTTTGTGGTATTTCATGAAGAGACTTGAGGTACTAACAACATAAAAGATTATTCTAGTTTTTATTAAAAAAAAAGAAATCTTCTGTTAGTGTTATAACTATTCCCAAATCAGATAACAAACTGTAATGTAATCTTTGCATGTACAGCTGTTAGTAAGTCTTGAAAATCAGAATACTCAATTTGTTTTCTTAACCATGTTCACAGATATGCGAGACTCTACAAACAAAACTTATTCAGCTAAAACAATATTTACATCCAATCAGGTAAGCACGTACAAAACAAACTGAGCCTAACTCACATTGTATGAAGACATGTTACGCATGACATTAGGCGGCAAAGATGACGAAAAACTCTTCTGTCCACAGTTGCGCTGTGGGTGTGGACTCTGAAACAGCTGAACCACTCCGTGATTGGTCAAATTTGTGTGCTCATCAACCAATTGTAGGCAGACATTTTTGGCATCCACTGCAGCAGCACCACTCAACTGAAAGTTAGATGTTCTGGTAAATTATTTTGCAACAAGCATACTCTCTCTTTACACCATTTCACAAAGCACCTAGTTAAGTCCAAATAATGAAGCATTGAGTTCTTCAGTAATCAGTCTGATAATTTAATAATATACGCTTTCTTTTTTTTTCCAAAAATGACTAAAAAAAACTGCCAAGGAACTTATACCTTGTATCCAAATGTGAGATCAATCCACAAGTGGAGCTGACTAGAAACATAGTCACCCTCTAGGATAGCCATGTGCTTGGTGACAAAGTCCATTGGCGAGGAAGACCAGGGCGGGATCTCAAGGTCAGGGAGGTCACCATGAATTGACGCAAAGATACTCGGGTCTGTGAAAAACTCTGGAATGCATTCATCTGGAGTCCACTCTTGCATACGCTGCATGCTGGAGGGGTACTCACGCGGGACCCACTTGGATCGGACTTTGGTACAGAGGATATCTTTGGGAGTTCTCCGAGCTTTATAGACGTAGTATGTTATGTCTGATAGAACGTCTGATATGTGGTGTGGCACTTGAATCAAACCCTCGGTCCTCCCTGGCACTGAAGATGAAAACGACACATTGTACATCACGTCTAACTGATCATCGCCTTTGTTAAGTCTATATTTGGACATTGAAAAATCTCGATATTCTCCGTTGGGAGTAGTGAAATCAATCACCCAAGGAAGGACAGGGTGATTGTTAGGATCCCCCATCCGCCGCCCTGCAAGTTTGTTCAAAGCCATGATATATTTGAAATTGGAAATCCTTCCATTGATCCAGTCATCTGTGAGCTTTGGCAATGTCTCCAGACTGGGCTCATCATGAAGGAAAGCTCTACTCATGGCACAATCTGTCTCTAATGCAGAATGATTATCTGGAATTATATCAGGAAAGTGCTCATCTGAACTCTCTAAGGAAGACTCCACCTGTTCCCGAACACTCTCCAGTTGTGTAGAAGCACCCTGTATCACTTGTGAAGTGCTGGATGGGGCCCGTGGTGCAAAATTTGTTTGTCCAACCGAACTCCCAGTCTTAACATCAACATGGACTACTGATTCACTGACATGATATTGACTGCCTGTGTTCCCATCAGAAATGTCTTCAGCTTCCTCATCCACATCTTCATCCATTTCAGCACCACTTTCAGCACCATTTCCCTCCCCTCTTTCGCCATTCTCAATTGTTGAGCACCCTTTTGTCAAAACAGTTGAAGAGTTTGAAGAGGTAACTTCTTTCCCCTCTGCATTTACTGCTATTTCATCTGGATCTTTTTGGCACTCATAAAGAACATCTTCTGTCAAGCTTTTCATTGTAGGATAACTGCACTGCACCCAAAGTTTACTATCGATTAAAATATCACGAAGTTTCCTGTTTCCTAAGGAGAGCCCCTTGTTGTGAAGGTGCCTCAATGCATGGAGGATCTGATACACAATGAATAGTGGTTTGGCATACGAGTTGCCTAATATGGCAGGACTGAGAGTGACACAGTCTTGCAGTGAATAAGTCATATATGGCTGTAAAAGGTAAAATGCACTGTCTGATTCAAACGCACAATACAAGGGGATGAGGTTTGGGTGTGGGGAGTCCAGTTGAGAGATATCATTTTGTTCTTCTTCTTCCTCTGGCACTCCTTCTCTTCTTCCGTTTTCAAAACTTTTCAGTGGATAGATGGAACAGTTGTGAAGTCTTTGAATTACATCTCTAACAAAATCACAAAAGGGCTGAAAATTAAAAAATATATATTTAATAATAATAATAATAATCAAACATCCTTTGATAAATAATAAAATATGGATGGCATACAGTTTAAAGTTAACATACTAAGCACATTTGTAAGTTTGTTTTTTTTAACTGTATAGCTTCAATTGAAGCAAATGCACGCTACACATAATTCTTACAAAATTCCCCACCTACAAAAAGTTTTGAGATTTCATTGCAAAAGAGAGTCAGAGAAAATGTATGCCATACCTTTGCAGGAGGTGCTGTAGATGATTCTAGATTTCTTCCACAGCTTCCAAACCTTTCAAATGCATTCTGCCATGACCGTCTGTAGTTTTCATCTGTCACATAGGCCAAGGAATCTATCAGCCCATTTTCAAGATGAGGAAGTCCAAAACTCTCAGGAAAGCTGAAAAATTCAAAGAAAGTATAAAACCCTTCAAATACTATGGGTCAAATATATTTCACAATGTGATGGTGATTCTGCTTGAATAAAAAATCAATATTTTTGCAAAATATATAACCAACATGAGCACAACATATGCATTTGACCAGCAAAGCAATAGCACCATTCCAAACATTACTGACAACACCTGTCTGATGAGTAATACAGATGCATGCTGATGATTACAATTATTCAAAGTGATTCAAAAAGATACAAATGAAAGAAACAGAAAACTGCACGTCCTTACATTTATTTATCCTTCACTAAGGCATAACAATCCAAGTCAGATTATATATATATTTAGCTTTATTATCACTCATCTCCCCAACCTTTGATAATTGTTATACAGTATGGTTTTATATAATGTTCATGCAAATATAACTTCTTTACATGGTACTATTTTGATGACATTCAAATTAAGTGACTTCCTCTTGCCATATTTCAATTATTGAACAAAGCAAAAACGTATGGTTTAAGTTTCTCTTTCGGGTTATAAATAATTTGGGTTATCAATAAATTTGATAAAGAAAAATACAATAAATCATAAGACTTCATACTTTCACTCTACCATAAAGTAGCTTTTGCAGCACGTTTTCTTTTTCATAACATGCAATTTTCATGCACAGATCTACCATTGGTACTGCATTAATTTACTACTGAACTGAAAATAACCAATATCGGTACATAAATGAAAAGTTTTGCCACCATAAATGAAATTATATTATTCTGAAATATCACATAACTTACCATTTTACTTTTTCATTTCTTTTCTGTATGACCTTTACACTGATCCGCTCCCACGGTTCAGGGACATCGGTTGTAGAAGCTGCCAGTAGTCGTTCATATTCAATCTCAGATAGGCTGTGGTTGTATCGGGAGGCTGTAGGAATTTTGTGTTTGTTGCATGCCTTTTTTAACCATTCTGTTTGGACCTTTAAAACAAAAGTAACCAGGATTGTTTACCACCATGTGCATACAAAAGTAATATGAAATATTTTGTAAAAGTAATATAGAATGTTCACTATTGACAAAGTGGGACTTTTTCACAAATGGTTGTTGGTTTCTTCATTATGGTTATTTATTATCAATATCATTATTAAAATAATAATATTAAAATAAAACTAATAATAATTTTCATTATTATTAATATCTGTTAATCAAGACACTTCTGAAGTGTTTAATTTGGATTGTTACATTGGGGCTTGAATAATAATTGACTACTAAAACACTCAAAATGTCATCTGACATTGATAATATTAGATAATCATTTATTATGATAGTATGATGGGTCATTTGAATTCCATTATTGTCAAAACCAAAAGACTCTTTTTCACATAATGACTGTGCAGAAAAAAAGGATACTCTTGTCAAAGAATCCAATGGCCTATAGAAGAAACAGTAGCCAGTTACTGTATAAACTGACAAAATTTTACAGGATTAAAATTGGCATTGCACTGTATTTTTTAAATTTTCCAAATTTCAGGGATAAGCTTTATTTAATAACTTCAAATCTAAAGATAATCAATTCATGTTTTCTTGTTTTAATAGTTTTTAAAACCGGCATTATCCAAGAAATATTGTATAAATTGTTGACCTTAAATTCATTAACGTTCGTAAACGTTAATAATTTACTCGTACCAACTGACTCCATCACGAAAAGAGTAGATTACAAATAACAATACGCGATGGTTTTAAAAAAAGATCATTTCAATTATATATCACAAAGAAATGAATTTTCTTTGCATATATAATGGAGTGACAACAGCTGAACATAACGGAATGGTTTAATCACTTTACACTATAATCATAAATCTGATTTTTTTTTTCATTGTTGATATTGTAAACTGGCCTTGACATTGACCTGAAGTATTGGCTATGATATCTAAAATCACTCACCAAGCAGACAGCTCTATGGCACGATACTAGTCGTATGCATCCTGGATGAATATTGAGTTCATCTCTGATCATATGCAATATCTCCATGTGGATGCTGTTATTTATTTCGGTGTGAAAATAACACCTTCTATACAATGCTCTACCGATCCATCGTGACCATCACCCCCGTTTTTTTAACATCCGGCACAATGCTGCCGTCTTCTCTACCACAATGAGCGACAGCTGTCCACCTACCAGGACACATTGCTGAATAGGCCTATCTCGCATCGGTTTTTAAACATAAAAAGTAAATTGAGTGCAATTTGATGGATAAATTTGGAAGTCTACTTTTTATGCCCTATCTATCTAGTTTTTATTCATTATCATACTACTATTGATCATTAGATCTATTTCCAATTTTACTTTTAAAGAATTAACCAAATAAAAAACTATTATTATTATTATTATTATTATTATTATTATTATTATTATTGTTATTATAAAAATTAATTTTTTTGGGGGGGGGGGGTAGTAGCCTAGACTTGATATATTTCGTCAGATTTTTGCAATCTTCTCAGTTCATAGATCCAGTCCAATACTATAATATTATTTGTTTTAAACAAATTTTCCTGTTTAAATCAATTTTTTCTTCTCTTTACTTGCTTTTCTTATTATTATTATTTATTTACGTTGCATTGAAAAAACCAACCAAACAAATATGGATTTTAGACTCATAATGGATATCATCATTATATCGTTATTATACCTTTGAGCGACGTACCCTGGCTGCACTACATTACAAAATGAAAGAGGTCATCGCTTGTTCCACGGCTGCGCTCCCTGCATATGTAGAACACCTCTTTGTATAAAAAAATCAACACCACGACACAGCAGTTAATTAATCATCACAATAACAAAAGAAAAATTTGAAAGTAATAATAGTCTACTGCCTAAAACAAGACATAATTAAGCGACATTCAAAGGCAAACATTCAGATTTAGAAGTCTATCAATTTATTCCCCCTCTTTCACCAGTGAAATTTTAACAGAAACAGCTCCAGGTCGAAAGAAGCCCTTTCTTAAAGACGAATCATAGACCGTATATAGACGTATTTACTTTTAAACACCAACAAAAGAGCACTTAGTCAACAATACAGTCGATTTTGTAAAGAGATTCGTTGACCCGCCTTTTACTTTCTTTCTTAACCAATCTATTGCGAAAATGTGATTTGATGCGCTTTGTGTTGCCCTTTGAAAACACATTCACGCGTCACAATTAGCGCAATTCGAGCCCCGGCGCAACCATTGTGTTGCATCGTAGCAACAACAAAGCTCCAACGTAGCAACCGCCGCTACTTCACAGCAAGGGTCTCATTTCGGGAACAGGGACTTATCATGATGTCGTAGTTTTCATAATTATCCTCTTCAGTATCTCTTTGTAAAAGGTAAGTGTTACCTATTCAAAACAGTTTAGGGTTTATTACATTGCTGGTGTTAAGCAGATATGCTGCTTGTGTTAATTAGATTAAGGTCGAGTTAATTACAGTACATGTCAATTCCTAAGTTGATTACAGATTTAGAAGTCACGCGATGTAGTCTGGGTTTGTATACCATGGAATTAATCTATTCAGCAAGATGTAAAAGAATTTCTTGACTATTTCTCTGCACTTTAAATTACCGTGGAGTCGGAATGTGTCATGTCTTAATTACTATGTTTTCAAGATGGTATTTTCTAATGATGTAGACCATTTTGGTTAGATTAATGTTATGTTCTGCGCGTTAGAACGGTCCAGAGTCCTATTTTTATGTCGACATAACTTGTAAAGTTACTTATTTCTCCCAGTTCAGGCCTTACAATTAAACTCCGCAAATAGAAAAAAAATCTCTGATGTCGGTATGATATTATTTCTGACGTTCAGGAAGACTACCCGAATATGTGGCGGTCAGAATGGATCATGATATGTAATAAAAGTAATTAAGTAATTTCATTAGAAATGATACAAAACATCAAATCCAAGTGCAGGGATGAGTCGAGCTATGGTTGTGTTTTATCTCAAGAAAAATTAGATTTGGCGCAAAATCCATTATAATTATATTAAGATAATTTTAAGTATTTTTCTTAGGCAAGAGTCAGTGTAGAGTTATAAGTGTGAGGATGCTAGAAAGTTAATGGTTTTAATTTCTTTTCAAAGAAGCCATATATGTTTGCCTAAAGTTCCACTATATATTTTTAGACTATTTGAAATGGTGTGAATCACTCACATTTTATTTATTTTTTTTTCTATCCAGATTTCTTCTAAATTTACCTGAAGTGAATTTTGGGCAAAGGGCACAAAAACATCCCCAAAGATGCCTATTGCACAAAACCGCCTAGAAGTCCTCCAAGTCTGCAAACTGCTGCAGTGTGTAAGAGAGGGTGACAAGGTCCAAATTGAAAAATTAACCTTAAATGGAATACCACACCTCGTCAACTACAATGACCCAAGTGAGGGGGACACAGCTTTGGCAATTGCTGCTTGTGCCAATAATGATGAAATGATCAAGTTTCTCTTGGAACTGGGAGCACATCCAGATGTGATGGACTTCAAGGGCCGCTCTGCCGTCATGCGGGCAGCAGAATACGGACATGTTCAGTGTATGGAGAATTTAGCCAAGGAGGGAGCTGATATGAAACTGAAGGATCTTGAAGGGAAAGGTAGGACGTGTTGATTGTATTATTTATAAGCACTGCAAGTGTTTAAATTTTCTTCTTTTTTGTGAGAATTAAATCTTGTGATTAACGTCATTTGAGTTTAACAATAATATCGAAATGATGAATTACTGTTGCTCATTTGTAACTATACCATTAATATGTTACAATTGTGACTGAGATGTGTTTTATAATTACAAGAATTGAATGATTTATGTAAAGTTAGCAAATCTAAGACAAGATATTTTGTGTAATGTTCCTGCCTTATAGCTAGGATCCAAGCTTATAGTGGGGTTATAGTTTGACAATTTGTATCTCTTTTGTAACCTAGTAGAATGCATTCCTAGAAATGCCTTATAACTGACGAATTTGTATAGCTGATACATTGTTGCCATTAATCAGAACAGTTTTAAATTCCATATTGTTCTTATATGTTTCTTTTTTCAATTGCAGGCATTCTGTTCTATGTAATTTCTGCTCCCACACAGAGGCATTCCCGTTGTCTTGAGATTGCCTTAGAGTATGGAGCAGATGTCAATAACATGTCCAAGGATGGAAAGCCTGTATTTTTGGTGGCTTGCGAAACTGCTGCAGAAAACGAAGACATGTGTCTGAAACTCTTGGAGAAGGGGGCAGATCCCAATGCTGTACAAGAGGTAGGTTTCTTTAATCTATAATTAATTTCACCTCTATTTTAAATGTATAATGTCAAAAATAATGCTTCAAGGTTAAAATTTGACTGAATTTTTTTTCATTAGCTTTATGCTTTTTTTCTAAATCAATTTTATAATGATTCACAGCGTAGAAGAAAACTGATGCATCTAATTATTGCCATTGGCCTTTTGCACAGTATTTACCTTTCTGTATTTAAATTTCAGAAAGAGGGTAAGACGGCACTCATGGCAGCATGTGGCAGTGGTAGCGTCAAAGTTGTTTCAGCCATTTTAGCCAAAGGTGGTGATGTTAATGCCAGGGACAGGCATCGTTCCACGGCACTACATCAGGCTGCAAAAGGTGGTTTCTTTGAAGTATTGCAGGTTCTCTCTGCCTACGCTTCAGAGTTTGATGTAGTAGATGACAAAGGGAACACACCTGTACACTTTGCTGCAGATGGGCATGCTATGTGCTGTCGCTTTCTCATCCAAAGAGGTTGGTACATATACTAAGAAGTATATATCATGAAAATGTAGGAGATATATTATCGAGAAATGAAAAGTGTTGTCTTTGATTTTGAATTTTAAGATATGCTTCCTCCTTGATTGGAACAAATTATAAATGATATAGCTTGTTATCTATGTTAGAAATAGATTAAAATCAAAGTTTAATTAATTACTTTTATTTCAGATTTATCCTATATACCTCTTTTGTGTGAATTGTCCTCAAGCTGACAAACATAATATTCTGGAAATTAATTTATTGGACTGATTTTGTTTACATTGTTACATTGATACATGTTGTATCTTTCCAGGTTCTAATCCCAAGTTGAAAAACAATGAAGGAGTTCTTCCCAAAGCAATAGCAAAAGATAATGGACACAAGGACTGTGGTAAAGAGCTCCGTAAGGGAGAGAAATCTTTTGGCAAGACAGGAAAAAACAATGATCCCTGGGCCATTCAGTTATATGACTGGTCATTTTCAAGGCAGAAAGAGATTGTGGAGATGATGCAGAAGTTTGACCCGGACATTTCGGGATTTGTGCAGAAAGACGATTTTATCGAGTGCCTTCAGAATTCTGGTGCTCCATTACCAGACGAAGCTGAACTTAAAAAACTCACACTTGCTCACGACAAAAATAAAGATAACACAGTAGATTACAATGATTTCCTCACAGGGAAAAAATATATAAATAAACTATACTTAATGAGTGCCTTTGAAGGAGGCAAAAAGAAAAAGAAAAAAGGTGGTAAGAAGGGCAAAAAGGGGAAGACAAAGATCCCTATGCCTATCTGTGTGCAACCTGAAGGGCCAAGAACTGCAGGGGGTGGTCCCCCAGAGGTATTCATACCCAAAAATATCCATTTTACAGATAACACACGCTTTGATAGAGATAAACCTCCTGAGCACCCTCTTCAGGACGACTCTGCCTGGTATCTCCATCTTCCTGACAAAACCTATGTAAACGTCAATGAAGCTGCCAAATATGGGGACTTGGATACCCTTAGAAATGCCTTCTCCAAAGGATCTCCTGTTGACACCAGAGATAAATATTTCAAGACTCCACTTATGACAGCGTGTAGTCATGGAAATATGGAAGTAGCCATTTTCCTCTTAGATCAGGGGTAAGTGAAAAGAAGTAAAGATGTGTATTGGGCACAAAAAGTATAAAGTTTAAGTATTTCAGCATGAATATCTAATCAGTTGGTAGTTTTTGATTGTCTTTCAGGTCAAATGGGGCCTAAAAACATTTTCACTTTATTATCAGTAAAAAATTCATACCATCAAATTACTAAATAAATCCTAAATACTATAACGTAATATAATACCCTAAAATACAATTATGTGTCTTATTTATTTATTTTGATTTGGTTGTTCATTTTTTACAGGGCAGATATTAATGCCAGAGACAACTTCAAATGGACCCCATTGCACCATGCTTGCCACGCAGGTCAGCTTGACCTTGTAGAGTACCTGCTGTCCAGAGGGGCGGAACTGGATGCCACAACCATGAATGGCGGAACCCCACTGACCAGGGCCATAGAGAGCTCCAAGGTGGAACTGGTCAAGTTCTTGATTGACCGGGGTGCTAAGATACAAACGGAGAATAAAAAAGGTCAGTATTTGATGGTGAAGCTGGATTTACATTGTGCTTTATAGAATGTAAATGAAGGTCTGAAAAATAAAAGGGGCATGATTAAGTTAAATCTGCCATAAGCTTATTGCAGTTGTATAACACAAGGCTTTAGTGATGATTGAAATTTGTTGTCCACGTCTTTCAAAATTCTTTAAAATGATAACTGAACATCCAATAAGTCTACTTTTTTTCCAAGATTTTTGTTTATATTTTGTATATAAAACTACAATTTTTGCAACTATAAACACATCATTATCTGTTTTTTTCGAATATTAATTTGTGGCAATTCATTAAATATTTAAAACATATTTATTTGTTCTAACAATGTTCTCAGGTCAAAACCCCCTGGATCTTGCCATGGCTTGGGCTGACCTTAGGGTCTTGGATACAGTGCAGACAAAGTGGGACAGCCTCCCGGCTCCTTCAGATAAGAAGGGCAAAGGAAAGGGTGGAAAAGGGGGCAAAAAATCTCCACCTCCCAAGAGGGCAGCAAGTGCCCCTGCTGACAAGGAAGGTGACATCAAGGTATGTTTTGGTTTAATTTCTGTTTATTTTAGCTCTTCTCGTAATTTGTAGTCAATGTGGTTATCTATTTTGAAGAATAGATCTACATATGCTGCTTTGGTACATTATAGTGATGCAAACTGGGCAGTTTTGAAAAATGATACTCAAGAGTTGAAGGATGTGGTATATTAAATTCCCAAAATTCGGCTGCATTAGAATGGGAGGAGAAGACAGATATTTTCCTGCAGTATGCATTTGTCTGTGCTTGGAGAAGGAACTCGGTTTAAAATTGAAACAGAGAAAATGCAAGAATTTGTCATGTGAATAATATATTGGCAATTATAAAAAGAGTATTAGAAATCATTTGTTTACATAGATATGAACATAAGCTGCCTTTTTCTCAAAAATTTTCACCTTCTTTTCTCCAAACTGTTCAAGTGTCAATCTTTTTTCATAGACTCCCCCTAGTACACGTTAAGTGTTAAGGCCCACAATAGGGAGGGAGGCAGTGGAGGTAGGTGGGCTGTATGGGTGAACATGTACCTAGAGAGAGAGAGAATGAGAGGTTCTCCAGGGATGTAGCCAACCATTCATTAAGTTCAAAATAAGTTTTTTTTTTTTTTTTTTTTTTTTTTTTTTTTTGTAACGTATCCAGTCCTTTTTGTCACCCCAAGTTGCAGAAAAAAAAAACTACCTGTTCAATTCATAATTGATTAGGCTTGAGACTGATTGGACTAATAATTTAAAAAATACAAATTTTTAATTCATTAAAGCCAAACCTACTAGCCAACTGTCTCATAATTATGGCTTACACCAGAGTAAATCAGTGTTATTCAGGGACATAAATGTTCAAATAAAGAACATTGTGTCCATTTTGGAAGCATACTAGTAATTTAGGTGAATGTTTGACTGTTAAAACTTTAGCAGATACATATATATATCTATGTTACAGCCCCTTGGAGAGCCTCTCATGTAGTTTAGATGTGTTGCAGCCTATTTTCCTCAGCCCCCCTCCTTGGCTGGCCTCGTCTTTCTTTTATTCTTTACTTTTCTTTATGACTTTCCTTGTGAATGTTTCAAATAACAGTGCCATATTATAATACTTATGTCTCCTGCAAACATTTAACTCTGTTGCAAATGATTCTCACAACAGTTTTCGTTAACGCCATTTTTACATTGTAACAAATGACGAGACAGATAAACTTAAATCCATAATTTCGTAACAAAAAGCAGTTTTAATCACACCTGTAAATGACGGTATTTGGACAGCAATCAAGGTTATAAAAAAAAGAGACCTAGCGAAAGAGCAAGTTCTCTGCTCAGCACTAGATTATGACGCACTGCAAATTGTGTATGTAAAAGTGAAAGTGTAAGGTGTATGGTTGTCATCAAGAGTTAATGTTTATATTGTATTTTAGTTCCCGCCAGTTCAACAAAGAGCCACAACACCATCAGACGAGCCTATCCGCCATCGCAAAGGATCTATTCTGCGTGCAGCATCAGCTTTGGCTGGAGGTATCATCGAGACAGAGGACATCACGTATGTCCCGCTTAAAACATGGACCCCTCAGAAAAAGACTGAAGAGTTGATCCATGAGAAAGAAGTGCGTCGACAGCGTTACGGCTGGGAAGTCGACTTTGAGGATTTTGAGATGCCGTTCTTAAAAAACATCAGTCACAAATGTGCAATCTTTGGTGATGAAGACGATGACTGATTTTGTATGATGTCATATTGAATATTTGTTTTAATGTTCATTATACGGGATCCTAGTGTATTAGAGAGCTTCCTGTATTGATGGACAGGCATAGCTATATATGTATATAAATAATTTTTTACCAACATATATGGTAGGGATCAAATAATAATGAACTACATATGTGTTTGAAAAAACTGTTGCCCATGTTCTGACTACCAAACTTTTAAAGTCAGGAAAGGGTGCAGTACGGCCAAATAAACTTACTTAATAAAAGAACTAAATCATAATGTTTTAAATAAACAACAGTAGTACCAATATCACTTTTATATTGAGAGGTGTTACATCAATAACCTCTGGACTTTTTTGTTAAAAAAATATTTTACTGATTTTTGTTAGTTTCAACTGACCATTATTTTGTAAATGGTTATCCTATCATGATGATCTTAAAATGAAAAAAGCCACTTTATCTATATATTTTGCTTGTGAACATGTGTTAAGTTTTTTTTATTTATACACATTTCAAAGGAATTGAAAGGAGCAGACTGTAAAACTTGGCCACAGCTGGCAAGCTAAAAGAATGAAATTAGTCTTCTGTCATCTGTAATAAATGTGATATTAAATCAAGTGCCTGTGAGGACTTCAAAAACTAGTCATGTTGGTAAAAGACAGAAGGCTAGTCTACTGATTAATTAAAATCAATAAAGGAAGATAATAGCTAAAATTTGATCGACATGAATGTGTAAAACAGAAAGGAAATGTTAAATCTTTCATAGTATTGCAATAAAACTCAAATATACTTTTGTGCGTTTTGTTAATTATGACTGATAAATAATCAAATTACAAGATCTCTGTAAAACAACACACTATATTAATTTAAAAATATTTAATAATAAGATCCAATTTATGAAATATTTACAAAATAAACATTCAATAAAATTTGTAGTAGTAAACATTTTACTGACAATCATGTTGAGCAACGTCACTATGTATTTTAGAACATGATAATTTTTTTCCTGTTATTGACAGTTCCTCAAACAGGTAGATAAAAAATTGCTTCCAACATAACTAAAATGACCACCATTATTTTTCACAATTTGAGTCTTCTCTTGATTTAAACTGGACAAAAAGGAGTATACATTTGTGTGATAAGATTTCAGTTAGAGGTAGACATCAATCACAGCTTCCATCTTCCCATCCATCTCTCCACCTTTCATCAACTTTGCTACAATCAAATATTGGTTTCCCAAGTCTTTCATTCACTCCATTGTGGATCCTACAAAGCCACTGTGCTAACTGATATCTGGATTCTGTAGTAGGTGGTTTTTCCTTTATTCTGAAATAAAGAAAATACAGCATTTACAATTAATGTAAGCCCTGAATATGTTAGCATTTCTTTTCAGCTTTAATTTTTTCTAGTGGTTAAAAAGAAGCAATTTACAAAAGCATTTGACTATTTCCTTCTTCATGATTGACATCTAAATGTAGGAGATAACATACTTAATTATCAGTCTCCTTATCAGTATTTCTACTTAATTTTTTTTTAAATCCCATTATTATGAGTCAAATGAACTCCTTTAAATAATGTGAAACTAATCCTAGGTGTAATGCTGTACTTGACTGAACTGAAACAATCAATAATATTTTGATAAAATGCATTTTAGGCTGTTCCACTTCAAGCAGGACATGTATCTGTATTTAATCACTTAGACTGTTACTGCCCTGTCAGTGGTTTTACTCTCTTTCACAAGTAAGCTTCCAGCAACAATCACAACCAAACAATACGGACTATAAAACTGTTAATCTACCTCCCAAGTATTTTGCAATTTATATAAAAAATGATACATGTATCATTTGGCATGAAAAGGTCTGTTGAACTGCAGACTGAAAGGACACTGGACGATAACTCACTGTCTACGCAAATCCTCTGCACATTCTCCACAAGGATAAAATTTTGAAAACAAATGCATGAAATTTTTCATGTCCTCCTTCTGTGTTTCAGTAGGCCTATCTGGATAGTAAGCAGCCATAGTATGTAAGAATGACCAAGTGTTTCTTCCAAGTTCATGTATTTCCAATGGGCAGTCTGTTCTTTCTGTCACTTCTTCAGATTCAATGACCTGATTTGTTGTTTTAGATGTATGTGCCTGCTTGTGTGCCTGGAATAATAATAATAATAATAATAATAATAATAATAAATGCAAGTAAATGGTGTTGATAGTTTGCCACCCCACACCTCTGCACTTCTCCACCCTTGACATCTATGACAATGCCTGGGTCCTACATGTAAATGTAAAAAAAAAAGTATATAATAACAGCATAAGAAAAAGTATCGGTGCTTCATGTAAACAAAGCAGAATTATCCATCCCCAGGCCCAAAATGCAGTAAAATTCTGAAGTACACATGCACTCCCTGATGATACCTCAAATGTGAAGGTCCTCGCTCTAATGGTTTAGGAGGAAATAGCTGAAACTACAATACCAAAAATCAAAATCATCTATCCCTGGGGACAGCCCCACCCAAAGTACAAAAAAATTCTGAAGTGCCCATGCATATCACTGATGATTGGTCTATCAATCTCTTAAAGTTTCAACTCCCTAAATTTATGGTGTAGAAAGAGATACCAAGAGTTATAACATAAGAATAGAAAGAACCATCCCTAGGGGCAGCCCAATGCCTACTCCAACCAAAATTTTGAAGGGCCCCTATATATCACTTTTACCAGGTCAGACTGGAGTGCATTGTAAGTTGCATGAGAAACATGATTATTGGACTGTTTATTTCAGGAACAAGAAAAAATTTCTTATGACTTTTTATGATCTGTTCATCACATCCGATCCATTGATTGATACGAGAAGCAATCAATATCGTGTAAGATACGAGAAGCAATCAACATCAGCCTTCACCAGCTACCTATGAATGGGGGAGGGGGGGGTTACCTGACATTTGCAAGAGGGTCCTTGCTGCTATACCAACTAGCAGTCAATGAGTGTCAACATCTATTCATATCAGTCTGATGAAGGCTTTGGTCCAGGTTGGCCGTAAGCTAATGGTATGTAAGTATTTCAGCTTGTGTTTGATATTTTCATTTATGATCCAACTACCAAGCCTAATGAACATTTTTGCTTATTCATACATAATTGACAGGCCCGTAGCCAGCAATTTCAAAAGGGGGGTTCGTTTTTTGAAAAAGTGGACCTTTTCCCATAAAAACTACATGTACCTTGATAAAATTTTACCCAGAGTGAACCTGTTCCCAGCAAAAGGGGCGGTTCTTTAGACCCCCCCCCCCCCCCC